GGGTCGTTATTCTGCCGACCACAGAGAGCGAATAAACAATTTTGGCTGGATTGGAGGGCTCCCTAGGAAAGTAATGAAGACAGAAAACAGAAAGTACAGATCAAAGCCAAATAGTAGGGGTTTGGGATGCTAGACTGTCTGAATTTCATTGTGTAGACAAGAGGGAGCCATTGTAAGTCCTTAATCAGGGAAGTGGCTTGTTAGCAGTGTGAAGAAAGATGATCTAACCATAGTGCTCTGGGTGGCTTAGAGGCAAGAATAGAATCCTTTCAAGATGCAGTGAGAGTACTCCAGGTCTGAAAGAACAAAGATCTAAAGCAAGAGTGACAGGAAGGGATGGTGTGAAAAGTATTGTGCAATAAGAATCCACAGGAGGTGTTAACCAACGACACAGGGAAAGAAGGAAAAGAAACTCAAGTGGTCTGAGTTTTGGCAGTGACTGACTGGTAGATTAATAGTATGATCCAGAAAACCAGGAGAGCAAGTCTGTTTCAGGGGAAGATAAGAAGTTGGGGTATAGTTGTAGAATCCTGGAATAGAACTGCAAATAGAATCTTATCAACTCTAAGATACCATCAGTTGTAAAATGCACCAGTATTTCACATACCACCTAGAAGAAAAATGCTGCCAATTAAAATGTGACCCTTCTTGGGAATTCCCTGTCGGTCCAGTGGTTAGGACTTGGCACTTTCACTGCCAGGCCCCAGGTTCAGTCCCTGGTCAGGGAACTAAGATCCTGCAAGCCACACGGTATGGCCAAAAAGAAAAAGAAAAAAAAAGTGACTCTTCTTAAAAATACAATTTTTTTACTTTATTGAAGAGCTGTTTTAGACTTACACATAGGTTTTTTGAACTGCCATTCAACAAATTGCAAATATTTAAACCGATGCAATTTGATGAATTTTGACATATGCATGCACCTGTGAAGCCATCACAATCAAACCCCCAAAATTTCCTCATGCCCCTTCGTAAGCCTCTTCCCCTCCCTACCTCTCTCGCATCCCTAAGCAACTACTGATTTGCTTGCTGTCATATAGAGCAGTTTACATTTTCTAGAATTTTAGACAAATGGAATCATGCCATATACATTCTTTTTGATCTGGCTTCTTTCATTCGATATAATTGTTTTGAGGTTCATCCATGTTACTGTGTGTATCATTAGTTCATTACTTTTTATTTCTGAGTAGATTGCATTATGTGGATATACCACAATTTGTTTATCCACTCACCTACTAATGATCATTCAGGTTATTTACCGTTTGGGCTATTACAGATAAAGCTGCTATGAATACACATTTTAAAAAATAATATATCACCTCTGTGCATACATAAAAAGGGAAAATGGAAATGAATGGGTTAATATTCTTTTTTTAAAAAAACTAATTAATTAATTTTTGGCTACGTTGGGTCTTCGTTGCTGTGCACAGGCTTTCTCTACTTGTGGCCAGCAGGGGCTACTCTTCGTTGCGGTGCATGGGCTTCTCATTGCAGTGGCTTCTCTTGTTGCGGAGCACGGACTGTAGGTGCGCGGGCTTCAGTAGTTGTGGCACATGGGTTTAGTTGCTCTGCGGCATGTGGGATCTTCCCGGACCAGGGCTCGAACCCGTGTTCCCTGCATTGGCAGGTGGATTCTTAACCACTGCACCACCACGGAAGCCCCTGATTAATATTCTTAAAGCTCCTTCATGTTCAGACTCCAACTTTTGGAATCACTCATATTCATCAGTGTCTGGTCTTTTCCACACAGTATCTCCTCTGTGCCATCAAGAGTGGTAATTAAAAAAAAAAAAATCTGTAAAAGAACTAAAAGCCTTTGATGTTGGCTCTTAAATCTACTCTGTAAATTATGTTAGGTTTTAAAAGAGTATTCCACTATTTTAAAAAGTCCCTGAGATATTTTCCAAACTCCTGACACACCTTTTGCTAGTTTTGAAGCTGGTGCTTTTGTTATTTATGCATACATAGGCAATGACAAGTATGACATCTTGACCGCTGCTGGGTCGGCAATAATTGTAGGACCATCAGTTGCAGGACACAAAATTTCTGAGTGTTAAGTGTGGGAAACTGTGCATCTTAGAATCCATTGGTTAGGGTAATTCAGTCAGTTCAGGCTAAGAGCCTGGCAGATATACACCTTAACTATCTAGGGCCAGTATCCTGTTCTTTCTCATCCTGAGTCCCCTCAGGGTGCACTGCTGGGGATGACTGTAGGTGGCTGAGGGCATCCTTTGCTGATTTGGCAGGTGACATTCTTAGACTCACACAATAGATTAGTGGTAGTTGGGACCAGAACAAAGTGTATATGACCCAGTTGGTTTCTTTCACTTTTGTGGGAGAGGATTTTTTTTGTTTGTTTTGGTTTGGCTTTATTTTTTTTTTTACTGGAATATTACAATTAAAGCTTAAAAGAAGGTGGATTGATGGAAGGGA